GGCCGCCTGTATCCGGGATCTTGCCCTTTCGGTCATGACCATAGGTGAGAGTCGGAACGTAGATTGACCAGTAAATCGAGAGCTTCGCCTTACAGCTCAGCTCCTTCTTCACCACGACGGACTGGTACATCGACTGCATTACTGCAGAAGCTGCACCGATCCGCCTGTCAATCTCCTGTTCCATCCTTCCCTCACTCGTGAACAAGACCCCAAGATACTTGAACTCCTCCACTTGAGGCAGGAACAACGCATTAATGGCTAATAATTATCTGACTGATTTATTAATTTCTAACACCAATGTGGCGACTTTCCAAATCCTCTTGGCACCTTTTTTGTCAAAAGGGACTAGCGACAAATCTAGCGACTTTTCTGGTGTTTTGGAAACTGACGTGAAAGCACATATAACTCTACAGTTACTGTCCTCAACGAGCAGCGGGTGCTGCCGTGAGCCCCTCCCCCGTCCCGAGGCCGACACCGCTCCGCATCCACATTGCAGACAAAGCCTCCGCTGAGCCCGGATGAAGGAGGAAGGATGGATGTAGAGCTAGCAATTACACTCCACATAGTCTTTTGATTAAATGCGATATTATAACATTTAACAATACAGAACAAAATTGATTTATGTAATGTGGGTCTAAACAAATCATTAAAGTCATTAAGTTGTTTTGAGAAGTGATGGAGGTATTTCAATGGCAAAATAAAAAACTAAATAAGAATCAACAGAAGGAATTTCATTTGTAGTTCTAAACGTATTTAGGGTGTTTTTTTTGTCTCTCCCATGTGGTTATTCCTCTCTCCTACAGCGTCTATTATAGTTACATGCAAATTGACTATTATGCAAATGTGGTGATGACGTCATGTAGCGACTTCCAGCGACTTTTAGGACAACCAATAGCTACTTTCCTTACTGGGGAGGTTTTATTACGTACTGTGTAACTAAAATATCCATTCAGACATAATTCTAACACATGATTAATACAAGAAAAGAATTGGTGTCAAGGTACACTTTCAGAATCAACACTGTCTTCTAACCTTGAAGCAGAGCAGACTAGAGCAGACTTTGAATCTTACTAAACCGCATTACTAATACATTTGATTCAACACATTATCCATCCATCCATCCATTTTCCTCCGCTTATCCAGGACCGGGTCGCGGGGGCAGCAGTCTAAGCAAAGATGCCCAGACTTCCCTCTCTCCAGACACTTCCTCCAGCTCCTCCGGGGTAATGCTGAGGCGTTCCCAGGCCAGCCAAGAGACATAGTCCCTCCAGCGTGTCCTGGGTCTTCCCCGGGGCCTCCTCTCGGTGGG